TGTTGCCTGAACCGGGGTGGTATTTGAAATTACGTCGGTTCAATGACTATCTGCCTTTTAATGTGTCATTTGGAATCTCTTGATGCAGGTTTACCGATCCGGATGATAACACTGTGCATCACCCGTGTTCACATTTTGCCTATTACAGGTCATGTACTATATATATCCCGTATATTTTTCTTTATTCATTTATATAACTATAAGATTTGATAAATAACCTTAATTTTGTGCATCCCGTGCATCGCACGGGATCTGTACTAGTATAAAGAATAATAACGCCTTACTAATTTGCCATCTAGTTGGGCATGAAACGTGGGTATAAACAATTATGGCATGATTAGTATAATGAAATAGAATTTAATCGGAATGAAATAAGTTGAATAATGGAATGATTTGGGGAAAGGAATGAAACAAGTTTTGTCATTGATGCGTTTGGTATGTTTAAGGAATAAGACCGGAATTAAATGGCTATCATTCTATATTATCAGTTATCACGATTTTATTGTCAGCATATGGGAATGAGAAAATTGTCCATTAGCTATGGAATGGCTAATCTCATCATATACATGGTTTCGTCATTCCCATTGAAGTGATCATTCCATTGTAAAAACTATACCGATCTTGGGAATATGAATAAGGAAATAATCATTTCATCCCCACGTCATTCCCGCATACTAATCGTGCCATTAGCATAGAGACTCTTGTGAAGAACTAACTAAATGGCTAGTTTAAGTGTTAAATATGTCCTTTTTTTTCTATAATAACAATAATAATAAAAAAAAAGAACTAACTAAAATGGCTCATCTGATAGTTTAAAGAAATTGTTTCTAAATTGATGGTGACATAAATTTCTCTTCCAATATAATCACATTAATTTTTATGAAAACAATATTACTTGTTAATACTATAATATCTTGGTGCTAAAATAATTAGGCTATACACGATTCGTTATTTATTTTTTCCTTTATTTATTTATAAACATGTCAATATACACTATAAAATTAATAATAAAAATATATATAATTATATATTGCTCATATAAAATAAATACAAATTATGCATTAATTAAACCAGTTCGGTCGATTTGAACAATGGTCCGACCAGTGAACCATTGAACCGATAGCCTCCCCATGCCGAGTCACCATGATTTTCTGAGGTACAATGTTCATAGTTTTCTCCATTTCTTGGGGGCTGAAGAGAAACACACATAGTATTCTGGATTTTGGTGGGATATAAATGAGAGATATCAGCCATAACCCAAAGAATGCTATTCAAACAAGTTCTGCATTAACACTATTCAAAGAAAAAAGAAGAAAAAATATCACAAGCATATCTTAAGCCTCGAATTTAAACTTATCACAGTTTTTTTTGCCAAAAAGAATGCTCTCTTTTACACAATCTAAATAATATGGGACAAAGTGCAGTGCAATAATCTTTGTTTTCATGTAAAAAATACAGATCTCATCATAAAATTATCATCAGAGTATTCTGTCCTGAAGATCATTGAATAAAGAGGACGCGATGGAGCCAAGTTTCTTCCCGGTTTCTCCAGCAATATTCTTAAGCGAAGATATATCTTGCTGTGCCTGATAACAGCACAAAGGAACGATTTTTCTCAAGAATAAAAGAACTCGCAGCTTCAACTACGTGAAATACGGTTTAAGGGATTATAAAATAAATATCCAACTGATGCAATCAAATATTAGTGAGAAAGAGAATGAAGTTGCCGCATTACCTGGAAAGACAACTTAGTAATGAGTTCACTTGCTGTAAGGTCAGTATTAGTAGAACTCGAACCATGACCAAAGAGATCAGCACTGGAGATCGAAGATGACCCCTACAATAAAAAGGAACAAATGAACCATATTTGCATATGTAAGCCCAATTAGTATATATAGATAGAATGATAGACAGATTGGGAGAGCGATCTACCCATGCGTCGGCAAATGAAAGAACCCATTTGGAAACAAACACAAAGAATATATATGACATACAGAGAATTTCTGCAAAGAAGCTGACGCATCCAAATCACCGGCCTTGTTTTGAACACCGTAAAACTGAGCTGACGATATTGATTTTGCATTGGAAAACTTTTTCCTCGCTTCATCCGTCTCCTCAACCTGGCAATAAGAGCAGCACAGCAGATTACACTTGAAACATCCATCGATGCATATGTAACCTTAATTCATGACGATGCTCAGAAAATAAATTCACGACATTGTCACCTTCATTTATTCACAGCTAATACTCAATAAAATGTCCCATATTTCTAACATCATAAAAGAAAAGAAACTATGTTTATGTAACACTAGGAACACGGAGAATACTTTACGCTAAACATTTTATTGACATATCAAAATGTTAATGTTATTGGATAGCATCAAGATGGTATTCTATAGTCGTAGTTGTTTAAGCTCAAGGCACAAGGTATGGCATGTACTTTGAATATGAGGTGTTAAATAATAAAAAA